ACTGACGTGATTGTTTCCAAAAATTGTTAACATAAAAGTTACACAATACTGTGACAATAGTGAACTACAGTATGCAGAGTTATAAGCAGTAAATCCAGACTAAAATTTGCACGACTGCCACTCTCCTGTAGACTAATAATTCAGAGACGAATAAGCAGTTCATGCAGTATGACGTTGCACTACTGATGAGTGGCAATGATTATACCCAAACTGAATACTATTTTTTTGCACTGTATACATAAGGTATTAATTTATTCAATAATTTTACAAATTTTGCACTGTACAGGCACATGACATTACCTGTTTCGGCTAATTTAGATCAAATGTTAAAACAACGTGGCCCTATTATTAGGCCAATCGTTTCTCCTGTTTGATAACAATAATTTACATATATCGACGACAAAACTGCATATTTATCAACAGAAACACTAATATCGAAATAATTATTGGTAATAATACTAATGCTCCTACCTCTACAACCATGTACATAATTGAAATATTCATAAAGCACAGCAGTGTAATGCTATTTAAACATTCCCAGTAGCACTCAACGGCAGGCCATCAGTAATATTATGGACGACAAAAAGTTTCGAGTCTTTCGACCGGAAATCAAGCTCTAGTGCTATAACTGCTTGCAAACATTACGGTCTGCAGAGAAAAAGATTATCAGTTTATCGAGTGAAAACGCGACCGCGTTTTTGTTAAAGTGTTTTGACTACCAACTACAGGCCAAAGTAAGCAAGGTCGTACATGGTGACTGTCTAATGTCTATCATGTTTTAATTTTTAATGATTGTAGTGTTCTACAGTACCGGTCACTGGCTCGTATCAACTGTTCGCCGTATACTTTCACATGAACTTTGCTGTTATTCCAAAAAAACCGGCGCCATTTATACGCGCACTTTTACATACGCACGGTAGCTCGACAAACAGCTAACCCTATTTTCCTGTTTCGCTAACTGATTATTTTGCAATTGTACTCGTATTATAGCAACTGTCAGATATCAGCAGCCCGCTTGTATCTGCGACACGACTGCTGCGCACGTATCTGTTACTCATCTTTCTTCTATGACTAAGAGAAAAAAAACTGAAATATGTTCCCACCAGTGATAACAGATACACGAGTAGAAAAAAATACCATATCTGAGAGCACCGTGAATTCTGCAATAAATCAGCCTTCATTGCCGTTTATTGCCATGGTCAACGCAACACAACAAGTTCAAACTTAATGAGAAAAATAATTTAAGCTTAATGACATGCAATAATTAAGTTTTTCTTCATGTGGGCAAAATTTGCTAATTAGGTGCTAAAAATTCAGGTGCAAAATTACTACTACTTAAGTGCAAAATTAATTATTAGGTGCTAAATGTTCTAATTAGGCGTAAATGATTCTAGTTATAACTGTTCATTAAAGTTTGCTTAATTAGTAATTAGTTAATTAAGTTAATTAAACCATATTATCTCAACACTTAATTACGGACTATAGCGTAATTTCATACAGTTTAATGCAGCACGGAATCATCACGAACATTTATAAGCAGCTCAGGATAACTTTAACGAGTTGATGTGCGGTCGTGAATGTAATACGAATTATAAAACCGAGCTCAACAGCTCGGTTTTATAATTCAGCAACTGATTCTCCATCTGGCCAATGCGCGCAGCGTTATCAGTGAATCTGTCTGACTCACAAATCAGTGCGTGAGTTGGAGCGCGCTCGAGCGTTTTGACCTAGATACAATTCGCATCTGAATCCCAATACGTGGTAAATTTGACAGTTGCTTATATCGGCGAAAATAAACCATGCGACACAAGCAGCTGAACTGGAGCGCCAGTATATATACGTAAGTGTAAATTATATCCAGCTGTGCGGTGTGCATACGTTAAACGGACTTAAACCCTGTTGCCGAGTTGCGTTGAAGAGTTACATCTGACTCTAATTCTGGCGCTAATTTTTTTAGCACCGAACAGTTGCAGCACTTGCTGTCACTGTCCCGTCCTTGAAATATGAACTCTTTTAAATTGAATAGGAAATTGGGAATCATAGGATCATAGTGACACGCTACGAAAAAACAAATTCGTTTAAGTCCGTATCTGCGTTCTCGGTGTTCGAGTATTCGACTACGATGCCAATTTGGGTAAGTAGTACATTAAGTAACTTAATTTGTTTTTCCACCTCTTTTTGTCTCATTTATTATTGACATGCGCTTCTAATAAGTCAGAACACACTACACCGTATTTTTAATATGCGTATTACACCCTTAATAAAAAAATTTGGTGGTTCACGGACTAATTCGAAAGGTCCTACAACCAACAGATTTTGTACAGATTTGCTTGCAAATTTAGACAGGTAGGGTGATATTACTTCTACAGAGTACACTGTACCACGCAAGTGCGCAAACGTCAAGTTTACTCCAAAGACTAACTGTGTACTGTATGCATAATTTTGAGTTGGCTCGAGTGGCAACGATTTTAGACGCAGAGCTGCATGACACTACTGTTTAAACAATGTTCATTTGTGTAACCCAATAAAAATCCCCCCCCCCTACTGTAATAATGCGCGGTATTTGCATGTACATACCTTGAGTGTGTTATGCACGGTCCCATCGCATGCTAGTTGGAACATATTCGTCATCTGGTTGTAATTGTTAAGCAAAGCTGGATTGTACATATTGCGAAATAAAGCCTCTAACGTTAACTGAGATGATGTAATAATTGTAAGTGACAACAAGTTAACAATCAGCTATTTATGTTATTATCACGAGTAGTTTTTCACTACTCAAAAGCATTCGTGCTGATATTGAAATGTAGCTGGCGCACAGTATTAACTTCCAAATGCCTTTAACATTTTAACATGGAAAAATGATAGAAACAAATAAATACGCCAGATGTACGAAGAATATAACATGCGCACCATAAAAACAAAAACTTTAAAGCGTTCTGACATTAGGAGCGAGTGTTGAATGCTTTATCCTTCGAACACTCGTAGTCTGAAAAGTATTGTTACCGAATACCAAGCAACATTACAAAGTTCGCCGTGGCAGGTTACATTGAGCCATTAGACAACTTTGATGATGTGCACTTTATTTCAGTATCGCGATAACAATTTTAAGATCTAATTACGGCACCGTAATTAGATCTTAAAATTGTTATCGCGCTGCTGAAATAAAGTTGTCCCCGGTGACAACTTGATTCTTGCTATTGAGTACACTGCAATCACAGTTCCTACTGCAATCACAGCGGCGCCGGTTAACATCATGCAGTTACGCTTGTAACGCCCTGTAGGCATGACTTCGCGCTCACAGCAAGGTGCAAAGTTGACCTTTCAGAGTTTCATTTCATACTTTCGCGAATTTACGCACTTTGTGCACGGCCGATGCTGTTAGCACTATCCGGCCTATTTATGTTTTAGCAAGAGTTTTAAGGATATGCACTCCGAACCCGCTTATACGTGGTGCCACATTTTATGTAACATCTGCCAGGTTTTATCGCTTGCCAGTTGCCAGAGTGTCCAGTTTTTATCGCATGCCATGCCACTGGCAGTGCCATTGGCAGGTGCCACTGCCAGGTTTTACCCCCTGCCCAACTGGCACATCTCCCGCTGAAAGATAGCGTGACACGCATTGGCTTATAGCGCTTTCCTGTTTGTTTGTAAAAGTTTTTGCTCTTTTAGAAAAGTAACAAAACAATTAGAAGCCGGTTAATTACACAGAAGGGGGGAGTGTTGACAACTTTTGAGCACAAGGTTCAATCTAGGTGAGCACATGCACCTTTATGTGAGCACACTTTGTGCTATGTGAGCACAAGTTTTCAGGCCCTGTACTAATGTCTCCTACGACTACACTCTACGGTCATAATCTGCCATGGGAGGGATCCGATGCCGATTCCGCATGCACTCGCCTGGCAGAATGCCACCGCCCCACACCTGTTCGGCAGCGGATGCTCTGCCACCCTTTTCCCCACGATGCTGGTGGATATTATTTACTGCTGGTACCGCCCTGCCAGTACCATAGCGCTACCAACGGATCTTCGTTCCGTGTAGTTGCCTGAACGTGCATCGCCAAACTGCTCAACGTAATGCCAATCGTCTTTCTGGATGATCTGGATGGAGCAAATTCTTCGTAACGCCCTGATGACCTCGCAGAGCGCTATTTCGCCCTACGCGTCATTCCATTCAGTTGCTGTTGGTTGTTGTCATGGCCTGCGTTCACCATTGTTTTATGCAGCGTTTGCTCTGCAGTCCTGTTATTCCGTACAGTACGTATCCTTCTTTACCTCCTTCCGTAATCCACAGAAAGTACAGCAGAAAGTAGTTAGAAGTAAAACAGTAGTTGCTAGGAAAGCAACGTACACGACAAGATCCATTAACTATGTAGTCCCTAGTGTGGTGGAGAAGATTCGGTCGAAGCAGGGCCTTGTGGGGTTAGCAACGATGTAGGAAGATTAATCGAAGCGCTGCCCGTTTAGAGTCATGCAGGCTGTCTGCCTCTTAAGAATACTCTCATTCTTCTAATGTATGCTGGTTCGTCTCTCTCTGTCTGAGTCAGTTGATAGTACCATGTAAATCTATTGGCTGGACTAGACTGCTGGAGTTTGTCAGCAGCCGTATAAGGTGCAATTCTGTCAGTGCACAGTATTAAATCCCTCATGGTGGAGTTTGCTTGAATAAATGTGCACGTCGGCTTGCAATTCTTTGAGGCGCCAAAACGCTGCCTTATTGGCAATTTCTACGTAAAAATTTGTTTTAATCATTTTCGTAAAACTGTGAACTACATGAATAGATGATCTTGTACTGTACCAACTACCAACCAATACGACAATATAACTGACAATGTGCGCAAGAATTGGTCAGATAAGTTCTAACTAAACTTTTCGAGTAAGATATCGCACAACAAAATGTAGATGCAGGATGGGTCACCGATGCAAAACACGGAAAAAAAGAATGCGAAAAAAATATGCATGCGTTGTACAAATAATAAGGAAAAAAATATGAATGCGCTGTACCTGTAATAAGCAGTGGATTACCAGGGAAGGCGCGAGCATCGACTGGGTAATACTCGAATTGGAAACTGTCGGAAAAAATTCAATAATTCGTCCTACGTGACCAACTGAGGTCCAACTCCCAAACTGATGTAATGGTATGCCACTACCCTGATAATTACGGCAGCAGTTCAACAGAAGATATCGCCATTTCTTATCACCGCATGTGTTGAACTACAGCGAAGTACAAATTTTTTCTTTTAAGTCGTATCCTATTTTCTACCGTCTGGGGAACTTGCGGTTCTTGCGGCTTGCACATCTTTGCCAAAACTTCGAATGGCTCCGGACTCAGGGCATCCAGAAGAAAGGCCACATGGTAATCCGTCGGTACTTTGATCAGGGAGAGATGATTCTTCAGTCTTAGCTTCCAGTACGGCCATTCCATCGTGGCGGGGTCGAACGGCACAATCCTTAATAATTGTTGTCCCTTTCCCGCTTCCGCTCCGGCAGCAGCAGTGGCTGCGGATAGTGATGGAGGCCGTGCGGCACTGCTAGTATTACCCGTAGTCGTAGACAGAGTTGCCTTTTTAAATTATCTTAGGCCTTCACGCCAATGTCATGTATTCATAAAAATACAACATTACTTCATCATCGCCGGCAGTCAACTGATGGTCAAATAGTGACCTGCGTACGTACATCTAGGTTGGCAACCATACCGTTGCCAACCGCAAGGTTACAGTACATCACAAGAACTTTGAGAAATTGTATTTTAAAGTGCTATTTATTACAAATTGTTTTCGTATTCTTAGTACATACCATAGTCATTAGCAGAACAAATAATCGCCAGTTTTTCTTTTCATTAGCCGTACTCGAAAGGCACTTTAAATGCGTTCTGTACGATACAGAGCCGGAAGTTCTGTAACGTTTCGATCACACCCCTTACCGCTGATTTGACGGCCGAGTTAAAGTGTTCTGTATCTAAAAGGAACTCTCCTGGCTCCGTTACGATACAGAACTCGCATTTCTTGCTAGGTTAAATTTATTTTTGATGTGGATGCACAATCCGCTGTACGTTTAAAGTCCTATTTTTAATTTTCAAGTTTTTAGGGTGTAATTAACGGGAGTTTAATTGTTTCTATCGAATCAACATTCCAGTTCTGCTTTGTTCACTGATTTTAGCTGCCTCCGACTGTGCATGTTTGAATTTGTATCGATGGCAACAGGCAACTTCGCCATAGCCGTCAGCGCGAGGAATACCTCGGCGTACTTTACATGCAATTCCCTTTCGCTTTTTCACCAGTCGTTTGATTTTTTAACTTAACAAAACTTCAAATCGCCAGAAAAACAGAAAGGAAACTGCCACAAAATTGTGAAAAATAAATAAATCATTGACCAATTCAACTACGGTAACTGGGCGCTTTTAGAAACCGTGGTCTCGTTACTCTGTAACGCTCTATAAGATTCAGCGCTGTACCATTGGCAGATTCACTTTTACAGAACTCCCGGCTCTGTATCTTACAGAACACATTTAAAGTGCGTTTCGAGTAGTACTATTGACAATATCGAATTATGTGGCGAATAAGCGCTTAGCAACACATTTGCAGCGCTCTGCTGCACTCATATGAGGTTTGTGATTTGTTTTGGTATTCTCAATAACCGTGTTGCGGCGATCTTTAAAAGTTACATATCACAGAACGACCGTTACATCGCAACCGCTGACGCGTGATATGAAAAAGCATCTCTGGCCTTCTTTTTACCAGATTTTTTTTTTTGCGAAACGAAATCACATATAATCAGCACCATCACACACAGAAAACACTGCGTGACAAATTTTCTCCGAAAATTACTTCCGGTGGGTCTGGATTCACAAGTGAAATATTTGGGATACGCTGCACACGAGCCGCGGCAAGGATACAAGCCCAATTTGTCTTCCCATCCGCTACGGTGCTCATAGTGCAACCATACACGGTTGACAGTTAAGTGTACTCTGGACGTGGATAACGGCTTATTGTAGCGTAGATTGCACGGTAAGGGCAACGCTCGCATCTCGCTCAGTTTTTGTGAAAACTCCCCAGTCAACGTCTAGAAAGGTGGAAAAAAAATTCAGAAGTTGCTTTTTATTGCTATTATTACGGGCCTTTATCTGTACGGCACAAGAGCAGACAACCCCAAAGAGACTTCAAGTATGTGGCAATTCTCGTAGACTTAACATTTAAGAGAAAATCGCCGTGTTGATTGTATGTTAGTCCTACGAAAGAAACTGAAAATCACTTTACCTCGCATCAGTTTCCACAAATAACCACTTGTATACTGCATAGTATCAAAAATCTTCCATATTTTTTTCATTGGTTTTGAGACGTTGGTTCTGGGTTTCGACGAAAGCTGAAACAGTCGCGTGCATTCGAGATTACCGTGCAAGTCTAAAGACACGAGTCACACGCCCAGAGGTCCGCTGCCGTCTGCACATACTATTACTTAACGGGCAACCGCGGATGTTGCACCATGTACAAAATGTATGATAAAAAAAGTCGAAATCGGTCGACGGTTTACGAATCAGCCTCGCAACAGCACACCACCACCACTGCCCGCTATATGTCGCGATTTTGAAACATGGAATCACATAAAGTATAACTAGGTAGACGCGAATTGAGATCCTAATCGTATTTTCAATCTGACCAGGGCACCGCAATTCTGGATGCCAGTTCTGCACCTTCTGTTAAAATTCCTACTCAAATCTGGTGGTCTGTCTTATGGGTTGATATTAGCACATGATGGTTTTCTTGTTCGACCAGAATTGAAGTCCCCTCGATCTTGTCTGCTCTTGTGCCGTAACAATAATAATAATAATACTGTATAAACCGACTCTGAATGCATGTCGTTACTTAGAAGGCTTGTAAATGCACTTTGGCTTGTCAGAGAGGTCTACCGTTGTTGGCTGTTGTTGCCGATGCGGCAGCCGTTGTGATCATATGGGATCGTCCAAAAGACCTCTCTGGAACCGCTCATTATAAACAGTGATCGCAACCATGTGACCTTTTCCCGACACTAACTAGCTTTGACAAAAAAAGGCTTCTGCACAACAAAACGGCGACGCACATGCAAGTTGCGAAAATCAGACCATTCAGATGAAAAATACTGACATCCGGTAAAAAATACAATGGTATGCACAAAGTCTGCGTAAATGCAAAACATCAGTTCGAATTTGTCATGACCAAAAATTCTACCAACCGGGGTGCGAGCATTACACAATCGAAGAGGATGGCCTCCAGTAAAACGCGGGAGGTGAAGGAAAGCACACCAGTAACTCTTTTCTATAATATATATGGTCCTGCTGCGCTTCGATCGGCCCTTCGATCACGCGCAGCGAGTGCAGTGCTCTAGTAATACTGCCAACAAAGCCCCGGTCGCTCAGGGCGAGGAGGGTGGGAGGCGGGGCAGCGGGATGAAGCGGATGCGATGCGGCCGGGTGTCGGCCGTCAATCCCGGCAACGGGCGCAGATCGATGCCGCTGGCGTCCGGCGCCGGCTCGGCCAGGACGAGGAAGACGCGCAGGATGCTGAGGAAGAAGATGTACAGCTCACTCTTGGCCAGCGTCTCCCCCAGACACCGTCGCTTCCCTGCCCAGTCATCCACAATTACAATAAAGAAAATCCTTTACACTTTAACACGAACACATCTATATACAGTATATGATGATTAATCGACAATCAACAATATATTACGGCGGTGTTACCTAGTGAAAAGGGAACAAAGGTGTCGGGAAGTTTTGCCAGCTGTCCGTCCCCCGTCAGGAAACGCTGCGGATCGAATTCCTCCGGATTCGGCCAGTATTTCTCGCTGTGATGCACGGCGCGCAGGCACGCCACAATCCACGAACCTAATGTAATATGCTTTTACGTACAAATTTTTGTGTGTGTATATATACTGTATCGTCGGCTCCAGATGGCACTATTTTTTACAGTGCGGCAGAACTATGCTGTACAGCCCCATGCGCCGTGCAAGTGTGCACTGAACTGCTTGCACAGTGTCAGACAATCTATCGGGGCGGTTGAAAGCGACTGCCGTAAAAAAGCGACTGACCATATAAAACGGCGAATAACGGCCATTTTCATTTTGGGATGAGTTAGTTGCAGTGATGTTTGTTTTCGCTGGAAATTTTTTTTAACTAGGTTTAAGTCATATGCAAAACAGCTCACGTTCAAATTTATAAGAAGCACTGTGCCTAGTTTCTGAAAGTCAGGTCCTTCCAATCGCAACTTCGCAGAATGCCAGAATCAGAACAACATATTTCAGAAGGGACACTTCGACGGTAGATTTCGTGAGTTTTAATAATTTTTTGTCAAACGCGACACGTGATATTTTCTATAATTGTCTTAGATCTGCCCAATTCCCCCTTGCTCAAGGGGGAATGCCCCAAAATTTCGGGTGTTGTATGGGCGACCGCTCATGGTCGCCGATCTTCGGGAAAATAATTTCAAAATTCGGCCTTAACAGTTTTGCTCATAATTTTTTGACAAATCCAACGGTGTTTTCAAAAAAATTATCGGACGAAAAGTGTGGTAGCAGTTCTTTTTTGAAAATTTAACGGGGGCATTTTAGCAACAGTCGCTATCAACCGCCCGGGTTGATTGTCTGACACTGTGCGAGCAGTTCAGTGCACACTTGCACGGCGCATGGGGCTGTATAGCATAGATTTGAGGCACTGTAAAAAATAGTGCCATCTTGAGCCGACGATACAGTATTTGTTTGCTGGTTTGTTTGTTGGCTAATTAATTCATTCATTTAGTAACTTTTCATTGTTTTCTATTTTTTATTGATTTATTCTTAATTTTTTCGACACTATCCGTTAAAAACGGGGTCAATGTGGATGACCTTTCGGGACGTAGTAGCCGGCGATGGTGGTGTCGGTGCTGGCGGTGTGCGGTACGCCCAGCGGGGCAATCGTGGCGAAGCGCTGTACTTCCAGTAGGAAGGCCTCCGTGTAGGGCAATGCATGCACGTGACCGCTGTGGATCAGCGCCTCCGGAGTGGCGCTTAGCAAATCTTTACTCTCCATTTCCTGAACGATTTTCTTCTGCATGTCCGTGTGCAGACCCACCAGCAATAACGCCTACATACCGATCCGATAATATAATTATACAGCTTTATTAAAAAACAAATTACAATTACTATAATATAATATTTGTAATTTGTTTTTTAATAAAGCTGTTTATTATCGTTCATACAGCTTATACTGTTTATTATTCATACTGTTTATTATCGTTCATACAGCATACATTATATATTATGCTGTATGTACGGTAATAATATTGTGAGGTTCATAAATTCCGCCAAATGCAAATCAATCCGATAAATGTAGCAGTTTGTAGAGAAATACTCGTAGCACACCTATCAAATAAATTAACGGAATATTAATAAGAAATACGAAATTCAAATATTCACGAAGAAAAGCGCCGAACAAGATGAAAAATAAATATGGTAAATACAGAAAATTGTAACTCAATAAAACATTAAAAAAATTATTTTTTCACGTACCCAGCGCAGCGTGGTGGTCGTAGTATCGTAGCCGGCTTCGAAAAGATCTTCTAGCAACAGCGGAATCTCCTTCGCATCGAAACTCCCGTAATTGCCGCTGCGGGTGGCCGCAATATACCCATCGACAAAATCCGCCGCTTCCCCTTCCGTCCACCGTTGCAGATGCGTATCCGTGGTCTCTTTAAAAAATCCCGCAGTCCCTCGTACATGCCGACAATCTGCTTATATTTGTCGCGCAGCACCGGCAGTCGGCGCGTCCACGGCAGCAGCGCCACGAAGGCGCGCTGCCAGCTGTACGCGAAATTCAGCCGGTTCAGCGCCAGAAAGCGGCGGAAATGCGGATCGGTGGGTTCGTAACGCTGGCCGGTGAGGACGGCGCCGATAACGTTGGCCACGGCGGCGCTGATGGGGTCGCGCGTGTCGATCGCCTCCTGGGTGGCAGATTCAAATTGTTTTATTCTATGTTTTTATTATATATTTAGCTATTTATCATTCATGGACTTAGTTATCCTTTATCGCTTGAAAGTTCTTAAATTTTTTGTTTTTTGTTTGTCTTATATTTGTTTTCTTCAATACGTTTTTCTCTTATTATTTTGCTATTCTGTTTTATTAATTTTTATTGACTTTCGTTTCAAAACTCTTATTTTTCTAAGTTCTATTATAATATTTTATTTTCTGTTTATTTTTTTTTTTCTATTTTGTAAAAATTAAGTAATTTTTTTGATTTGCCTTCCAGTTTTAAATAAATTATTTTTACAGTGGTGCCGTGCAGCTGGTCCACCAGCCGCGCCGCTTCCTCCTCGATGCGTTCCTCCACCGGCAGTTTGCCGACGCCGAAGTCGCGGAACGTCTGCAGAATGAAACGCCGGTGCTCCTTCCACGCGTCGCCTTCCGCAAACACCACCCCTACGCAAACTCGACTTTCGCACGTTTTTCCGCACTCAAACCATAATTTTATACCGTGAAAAAAATTTTAATGAAAAATAATTTATTAAAAGAAAGTTTAAAATATTGTTTAAATAAAAATAATTTTAAAATTGAAATTTTTAAGTTTTTCTATTTTAAAAATTATTAATTAAAATCTGTTTACTTTTAATTTTTTTAAAACTTTCTCTTACATATTTTTAATTGTCCTTAAACGGCTTAAAGCAAAAACATTAAAAAAGTTTGAAAAGCATTTAAAAAATGTTAAAATTAAAAAATGAAAAAAATTATTAATAAATATTTGTTTGCAGTATTTGGGGAAAAATTGATCGTACCATGACTGCCGTGATTAATCTGACTGCGCCACTTAACCGACTGGAACTGCGGCCGATTGAGGAATTCCTCGCGGGAGAATGTCTCGCGGATCAGCTGCGGATCACTGAGCACCACGACGTTATATTTGCCCAACGTAAGGCGGAACACCGGCCCGTACTGCCCCGCCCACCGGCAGAAACACTCCCCAATATTGGCGATATCCAGATTAAACAAATTCCCGACTAAGGGCAAACCCCGCGGACCCGGCGGATGCCGTTGTCCCGCCGGAAGTGGACCATTTTTCCTCAAAAAAATATACGCGACGATGCCGACCAACGCCAGCAACAAGTACACCGACATTTTGCCGGTATTTTTTTGATTAATTTAATTTTGTTTCAACTTTAACGATTTTGTGCATAATTATTTCCTTAATTTATCCTATAAACAAAATTCATAAAAACCTGGTTAGTTGATGGTAAAAGGTTGATGCCGAGCACATTTGCGCGCGTTGTGTCAAAATATTGTGCCGGGAAAATCTTATCGGGTATTCCATAGAAATGTAATCGTGTACGTTTCGTGAATGCTATCAGAAAATTATTATCAATTTATTTATCAGTTTGTAACTTAGCTATTCTTATCGGTTTGTTGCCCATTTTTTATCTATAGTATTTTATCATATTATTCGGTATTCACCCACCGGTTTATCAGGTACCTCTTCATTTATCAGATTATTATTAATATCGCCTTATTTAATAGCTATTTACAATCTACTTACAGAGTACGTACTATGTAATTTGCTATTTTTTAATTTTGTTTTAATGTTTCGAATTCACCATGTGGTCGATGGATTTTCCATTAATTAACCAACCAACATCCAAGTATTTTTATAATTTTATCATGGTGACCACTCCGTACGCGGCCCTTCCTTATCTTTACTCCTTACATTAAATAGCTTTTTTTACTACCTTTATGTATGTCACACTTGCCGGAACTTTTATATTTTGAATATTTTCACGTCAACGTTAGGTAATTCCGCAACTTCCATTTTTCCGTTAACGGCTGTCATTGCTGCGTAATTTAAAGCGTTATAAGCAGGTATAGGATCGAATTCCCGCGCACCCGGACATTTGGGAGTGTGACATTTCGCCGCAATTAAATTCGACGCACGACTTTTCGCCGCAAAGGCATTTCGCCGCGGGATATTTGGACGCTGGGACAATTAGGTTTGGGACAATTTGCACTGAGACATTTTGACGCAAGACGTCCGGTCGCGGACATTTCGCCGCAAAAGCATTCGTTCGACACGCTTAATTTTCGCAGGTTTTCCGGGTTTCTTGGGAGGTTTTCTCAGGTCGTTTAGGCTTCTTAGGTTGTTCTAATTAGTTGTTCTTAGGTTATGTTTCTTAGGTTTCTTAGGTTATTCTTAGGTTATTCTTAGGTTATGTTTAGGTTATTCCTAGGTTTCTTGGGGTTTTCTCATGGTTCTTAACCGTCGTATTTTCTTGGTTTCCTCAATGTTTTCTTACTTAATTTTTTGAGTTTCATGAATTTTTTTCTTAGACATTTCTGCCAGAAAAACACTACGTGACAATTTCCTCTGGAAATTACTTCCGGTGGCCTGGAATGCAAGGGAATATTTGGCATACGCTGGATACGATGCACGAAAAGGATACAACACTCTGTGTTTTTATTAATAATCATCGCGCAGTTATGGTAATAAAGAAAGAAACACGCTATATTAATCACAACAGCAAAACTTCGTTTGAACTATCCACTCCGTCCATCGTGCCAAGGATAGATGCTGCATTTCCGCGCTGAATCTCCAACGATAGTCGTTGACGCAGAAACTCATGTGATCGACGCTCACCTGTGTGCTCCTGAAGTCTTTTGCCCAACTCCTTCACAATGGCGATAGCCGACGGGCCCCAGGGACCCATCGTCTCGAAGGCGATCGGAGAAAAAATGTAGCGCCCTTGCAGATAGGCGTACAGTCGGGACTTCTTTTCTTCTGCTTGTACAGCAGCAGCACCTGCCGTATTCGACGTAGACGGAAGATGGGAAAGGGCCATTGTGTCGACGCACGTCACATCCCAGGCCAGACACATTCCTCTTTTCCAGGCGAAAGTTGTACAGCCATCAGGGCGTTGATCTGTTGTGGAGGACGTGCCGCGTGGTTCGAGCTTAGCAGGGACACCAGCTGAAACACAAGCGCGGCACACAATACTGTTAAGCCCTCCATGGCGCGCATGCCTACGGGCCGAGTAGGTGCATGATAAACCGTGGTGGCCCAACTTGTCAACATGTTTATCACATTTGGTGCAGTTATGTGGCTCGCAGATATCCGCTCCCAAACGCAGGCCAATCGAAATTTTCATCGTTTCGTCGTCGAGCAGCTTGCCGATGTGGGCTGAAGGAAGCGCATTCAGCCAAATACCGGCTTCCGGTCTGGACTGTGCAAGGAGACGGGCAGTGTTGACGCTGTCGCCGCGAAACAAGTCCAGTAAAACCGAAACTGACACATTACACAGCGGTAAGTCCCATGTTTTCTGAAGCTTTCGGAAGGCAACTTCGGGCATTTCCGGTTGTCGGGCTTTACCTTTCCACAATTCAATTGCTTCGGAAGCGTCCACAGCCGGTAGGTGAGGAGGCATCGACGATAACAAACAGGATACGGAGTGAATCGAAGCCAAAAAGGCTGGAAGTGATAATTCCTCCGCTCGTCGTATGCCGATACCTCCTCGACTGACTGGAAGAGTCGCTTGCCTCCAACATGGGTAGTCGTCGTGGTTCACCCGCACGTTACTGAGTTCTTGGAAACAGGAGCGCAGTGACTCATCAATTTGATACAGCAGATGTGGATGCTTCCAAGCATTGCAACATCTAAGCACATATATTATTTTCGGGGCACCCAAGCAGTGTCTGAGCAAATATAGTGCATGATGGCGAGGAAGAAGTTGCAGGCGAGCTCTCCCTATTGCACTTGATTTCGCTTGCAATGAGTCTTCAATCGCATCGTCTAAAACCGGGGCACCGAGCAAGGTTAAAGCCGTGCTGGACACAACACGGAGCTGGGGATGACGTGAAACGAAATCATCGATGACTTCCTGCCGTTCACTCTCTGAGCCTCCCGATACAAAGAGTTCACATTTAGCCTCATTAATCTCCAATCCAATGGAGCGTGCGCCTGTGATAACCCGTCCAAAATTTTCTGCTACTGTCGCCGGCTCTCCGCCCAGGGTTCCGTCATCAAGGTACCAAGCGTTCAGCACAGTATCCAGGGTAACGATAACACGAAGTAATGCCAGGCAAAACAGCAGTGGGCCCAATGGGTCGCCTGGTTGTACTCCAGACTCGGACGAAAGCACCGTCTGATCGATGAACAAAGAAGAATGATGCCCATACGCTGACCAAAAGTATTCGTCGTATTCGGGGAAATGTTGATGCACCGCATCTAAAATCACTTCTCGGGATACAGTATTGAAAGCATTGCGAAAATCGATCTTCACGAGCGCTTTAATGCTCTCCGGTGAGGACTGGATGAAATGCCTGGTGGCGTGAACGATGGCTTCAGCTCCGCCCCGGACGTTAAAACCAGACTGGTGAGGAGTGAGCAAAGCGGTTGCCCGGTCCGCCATCCTAGTGCACACGATTTTGGCGATTAGACGACGTAGTGACAGCCCTAGTGCTATCGGGCGCAGCCCACCGTCCTTCTTCCGCAGCGCCAGTAATTTACCACCAAAGAAGATCGGCCGTATAACAGCGGGAATTTTACCTTGCTGAACCAGCGTCAACACAGAGGCAACGGATTCGCAAAAGGGTCCGCTCTGGTCATCTAGCTTTGAGCCCACCAAGTCCAGCAAATGTTGAGGCCTTAAACCGTCCGGACCTGCAGCTGAGCCCCGTGGGAAAGTGTGGATGGCAGCGAACACTTCTGCAGAAGTTATTATAGGCGCAGCGACAGCAGAAGTGGCGTGGCGAGCCGTAGACGGTGGGGGGCTTAAAGGGTGTTTCTCGCGCAAACTTTGGAGAACTTCGGGTGTGCAGACGGCCACTGAATCTGTGGACAACAACACTCGCATAGCGCCGGAGATGGATCCATCATCGATCTTCTGGCCAACTTGCCGAACAAGATCCTCTTCGTTGCAGCGTTGTTTCCGACTGGTGGGCGGAGGGCTTGGGGGTAAATCTGTACCTTGTTCATACAAAGCCAGGTTTCTCTTCACTGCAGTTGCAAGTGAAGCTGAACGCTCGGATTTCACTTTTGCTGGCAGGGGGAGGGCATTCGGACAGAACGACAGCAGTTTAAACCAGGATTGGCTGTCGTTTTTGGTGGCGACCTGCTGGAGAACTTTCTGTAGAGAGGATCTCACTGCGGGTCTTGCACCATGAGGAATGCGGCGCAGTATTCGTTCTTTACACAGATGAAAAGATGCGGCTAAAGGTGGGGCAGGAGCGGCACCTCCAGACTTACTGGACGTGGAGGTGGATGCAGCAGCACCGGCGGCGGCGGCGATCGGGATAAGCTTCAGGTCCCGCGACAGGGTTTTGGGGCAAACAGGTCTGTGAGATCCCCAAGCCTGCAACAGTTTACCGCAGCCACAACAAGAAAACTGAGGCATGGTAGGACCATTCACCGTAGAGGTTCGCAGTTAAAGGAGCTGAAACTGAGGGACTTACGAGAAATCCACTGGTGTGTCGCTGGATGTCTACGGGACAGCTGCCACCACACAGCCTCTGGAGAACAACAATCTACCAGACTAGGTCCCGTAGCCACCCTCCCTACTGAATGACGGGAAATTTGTCATTCAGGGGCAAAAATCACGAGCCCATCACAAAAAAATGATCTTAATTCACATCTAGACATTAGTGAACGATAACGAATTCATTAGTTGCAACTGCTGTTTTTATTACTTTGTTCACGAAAATGGACTGTTTTGCGCCATTGTAAACTCATACAACACTTGCCCAACCAGTCTTCCCACCAAGCACGCAAAGTGCAACCGTACACAGCTGACAGTTAGGTGTATGTAAGTGCGTGGCTAAGGGCTGATTGTTGCAAGCGACTTGCACGTTACTGTAATTTTAACGCTCGCATCTCGTTCAGTTTCTTTTGAAACTTTTAAACCAACGTCTAGAAAGATAGAGAAAAAATTCAGAAGTCTTCTGATGCTATACAAGTGGCTATTTGTGGTAATTTGTGGTAACCAGTGTGAGCCGAAGTCATTCCAAGTTCCTCGTAAGCCTAACATACAAATGCAGTTTGACTCTGATTTATGGATTAGCTTCGCAACAACACGCCACCAGTAAATATGGTTAAAAATTCAAGATCACATAAAGCTGTCAGCTATCATGAGCTATGTACTTCCTAACGCCCGCGCTTCGTGAATTTGGATATACACCTATGCAGATTTCATACCAAAATGCGTAGAAATAATTCTAAACTTTTTAATACCAAACACATGGCTGCTCATGGCGAACAGTTCAATTTCCAGCCAGCTTTCTGTCTCGTAGACATAGCATAGTCGGATAGGAACTCCATGTAAACCGTTGGCAATAAACCTATGCTCAAGTTCACGAGAAAAACATATAAGTACTACTTGTAACTTGTTTTATTCCCGTTGAATTATTATATATCTGCATCAAGAATCTTCGTAATTCACGAGGAATGAGT